TGAAGAGGCATCTAAACTAAAAATCTATAAATTCACTGAAAGCAGCACTGTCAACTCCTCCCACCCTCCCCCTCCATATAATGAGTATATAATGAAGATAGAATTTGATGAAATGCTCATCTTGACTGTGTTGGTTTCACTAAAATTCCAACCCTGTCAAGAGATATAAAAAGACAAATTAGGGACTATTATGTCTCTGTATTTCTCCTCCGCCTGACTATCTTACAGTGACGGCTGTCGAGAATTGGCTGTGTATATGGAGGATCCCATGATCCTGCAGGATCCTTCATAGACCTTAATGCGTAAGGGTACAGCAGTCGTGTCAGAGCAGACTAAACAAGATGGTCGCACCTATGAGGAATAGGTTCAGGTAAGTAAATATTCGGCATAGTCCCCAGAGGGTGACAGTGTGTCTATAAAGGGACACTATGACCAAAAAACAGTTATCTTAATTTTGTGGTTTTGGTGTATAGAATAAGCCCCTGCAGTCTATCTAACTGCTCAATTCTCTGCCATTTATAAGTTTAATCACTTTGCTTATTTGTTTATACAGTCCTTGTCACACCTTCCCTGCTTGTGACCTGCACATACCCCATAAATAAAAATATAAAAACATGCATAGTATAATACTGTTACATACAGTATATACTCGAGTATAAGTCTAGTTTTTCAGCAATATATTGTTTGGAGTCGGCGTTGAGCCGTTGTGAGATGAAGTGGATATTCAATCTTGACACTTTGTCTCTCGGCAGACTAAACGTCGACTTTAAAATGTCTGGACTCATTTAAATCAAATATATATATACATTTTTTATTTTTTTAATATATTTTTTATATATATTTTTTATGTAATTCATCCCCCCATTTCTTTTTATAGGAATTTATATATTTTTATATTTTGTAGGTATTCTGCAGTTATATTTTTTCAAATTTTTTGGCCTCTAAATTATAAATTTTAATCAGTGGTTGCAAATTTATATACAAATCCTTTGTTAAAAAGTTTCTTCCTATTATAAGTGTGGTTCACTTTAAGAGGATTCTCCTCCTAATATTCTGGATGATAAACATTAAGTTATTGCTGTTGTTGGAGATGATTCTCCTCTTTATACTGTATATTTTTTTATGTATTAACTATGTTTTTCGTTTTCCTTTAAGAGAAAGAAAGGAACAATGTTTTCTGCAAAAAAATGTTTATTGTTATAAATTTTTATTTTAATATATATGTCTAGCCTTTTAGTTCAGATGTAGATTGTCTTTTATCCGCTCAGTTTCTTTCCCATTGTAAATATGGTGAAATTGGAAGTGCCGAAAGTGTTCCCGTAATCAGAGACGGAATACTAAGAAGCCGGATGTGACGTCATTACGAAGACGTCAAAATCACGTGATGCACAGCTAAGTCACATGATGCGGAAGTGCTAAGAACTCGGAAGTGAAGTGACTTCCTGTTTGGACCAGTTAAAAAGAAAATGAGAAGGATCAACTATACACTTTGATAAAGACCCTTTGGTCGAAACGCGTTAGTGCTGTGGACTCTTATTTTATTGTGTTTTTAAAGCTTATTTTGTTTCCAGTTTTTATTTTGATTTGTATCCAGTAAAGTCTATCTTTTCTTTACCACCTCGGATATCCTGATATTTATTGGGGCTGGAAAGGAGCTATTTGACCTTTTCACAATTCAGCTATTTTTGTCTTAAATGTGAAATCCACTTTGAATTCACAACAATTCTCACTTTAGTAAATAACCAAGTCTACACTTTGGAATAAAAAGTCAGAAAATCTAATTCTGTTAACATTTATTTTCTATGCGAAGATCTGCACCATGCATACTAATTACCCTCTTCCCCCCCTTAAAATAAATGAAAATCTTCAAACAGGTAACAATAAATTTTGAGATGTTCACTAGATTACCTTGGGCTCCATTTGGGTTCACCTTGGTTCCATGGTTCATCTAAATGTTGCTGTTGAAAAGGTGTGGTTAAATATACCTTTAATTAGAACTGCATCATAATAACACTGCTTTTGTAAAAGGGGCTTAGATGGTTTTAGGATTATGGCTATTTATGGCTGTTGGAATCCAGATTTTGGGCTTTAGAGCCAAGCCTATCATTCTTGTCCAAGTTCGATGGAATAGATATTGATAAATTGGAATTGTAAAGGAAGTGGTCTATGGGCGCAGAGGAGAGCTCCAGTTATATCAAAAGTGTTCCAAATGGTTTGACACAAAACTGAAAGATAGGCACTGTAGTGGCTACGGTGCTTAGAGAGCACTTTAATCTCATTTTAACTGTGCAATTTCAAGGTATTATAGCAGGGTTACTTAAAATATATGTATTGTCAAACACATGAATACTTTTATTGTTTATCCTTATTTAATTTAATATTCTTGGTGAGAACTAGTATTGAAGAATCTTAGGAAATACAAGAAATTTTAACCTGAACTGATTTTATGTTACCAGTAGTAGATCAAAGGGTGGGCATAGGTTGATCACTATATGCCATTTAGCAATAATTGTATTGTTAGGATGAATTTTTGATTTGCATTTACAATAAATATTTGATACATGCTGCAACTTGTAAATCAATGTAATATGTTATGATAATTGCATTAATTTGAACTCTTCCCATTACTTGAATTTGTGGTTGCATTTTTTAGATTAATTTAGTTTGATGAGATTATTTAGTTTGTTCTGTTAAGTAAAGTACTTTGGGAATTGTCTCAGTTACTGAATAATTTATTGACCATCAGCATTACATGACTAAAACGATCAGTATGGGAATATAAATGTGTAACCCAGTCTTTGAATTTGCAGTAAATTCTCGTGGCATAATAAGGCTGTTTAAACATTCAAAGTCAAAGTGTTAATGTATAAATCTTGCTACAAAAATTGCGCGCACAATGATACAATTCTAGATCAAAGTATTATTCAGAGACACCAGTATTCTTTGACAATGAGGTGCCTAAACCCAAAATAACCAACAAAGGGGTAGTTTCTGTAGGTTATTTACTTTATACATAGGATTGGTGATATAAAACTATGTCCCTGCTGGAAAATGAGCTCTAACTCAATGAGTCAACTAACTAATTAACTAAATACCAATGTCCCCAGCATTTACAAACTAGTTACTCAAATTGTAACACAATCACCAGTGGTTGGGAAATGAACACAGCTTTTATTAAATCTAACATTACTATTCTAACCATGCCATATTGCAATTTGTGCAGTGTAGACCTGGTGGCCCAAAGGTGGTTTTGAAACAGTTGTAACCAAAGCTTCTGGGTACTGACAGTACCTCAAGCCTCTGACAGGGTAACAAAGCCCAAAATGAATAATTAACTGGGCTTCCTTTTGAACAACCCTGTGTTGAATAATATTTTCAGTGACTATGACCATTAATAAGACTTAATACAAAGTGAGTCTGTGTGGTTGTTAAAAGTGCTCTGGATCTTGTCAGGATCAGAATGAAGTGATATTTTATTGGTTGACAACAGGTGATCATGATCCTGACCAATTGCTGAGCAGCTGGTATTAGACTCAGTCCTCAATCTCTATCAAATGTCCTTCTTCATACTCCATGATATATTGTAGACTCACATTATTCTCTACAGCAACTTTTTCCTTCCTTACTACTTCCAACTTCCCAATTCTTTTTTACATGTCTCTCTGTCTCTACATCTATTTAGTAACTACTCCTCCACTCCTCTTCCAAAATGTAATACTTCCATCTCTATTCTTTCCTTCCTGTGTCCCCTTCCTGTTTGTAAAAAGAAACGTTTATAATTTCCTTTCACTCATGCATTCCATACTCTACATTTGTCTTCCTCTCTTTACACTCACCCCTTTTCTCTACCCAAGCTCTTTATTCTCCCCCCCCTTCTACCCATTCTTCTAGACCTCAATCCCCCTTCTTCACCTTAAAATCTTACTTACACCTCCTTTCACATTCTCCTATCTTGCTCCTGACATCTGAGGACATCTCCTTCAAACCTGGCCCTGCTGCCTTACCTTATCTTTCCCCTAGGAACCCTTCAAACATTATACATATTCCTGGCTTCCTCAATGTTTGTCCTCTGACACTTGCTCCATTGTCCTTGGAGAATTTAACATGTCTCTAAATACACCAACTACCTCTGAGGTCTCTAAATTCCTCTCTATGATCTCCTACATCAGACTCAGACAGTGCTCCAATTCCCCTACTCATCAACCAGCAACACTTTAGACCTCATATTCTCCAATCTCTGTTCTATTGCAAACCTAACACATTTCTCCTTCTCTCTCATCACTATCTTCAAAGATGACCATCCTCACCTGCCACACTTTGACCCTGCAGAGACATGAAATCCCTTGACTACAATATGTCCTTTTATGAAAGCAACGTCTTTAACTCTACCTTATCAACTACCCTAGATACATCTATCACTACCTGCACTGCCCATTAAACTAAATCCAAACTCTGACATACACAATTCTCTCTATACCTCTAAATGTGCTTGAAGGTTGTGGTACTGGAGAAAGTCTTGTAGAACAGCTGCCTTCTTGCCCTACAAACTTATGTTGTTCCTACACATGTGCCCTCACCAAACAAAAATACTTTCAAAATTTTAACTCAGTATTGCTTCCATGTTGCTTCCACCATCTACTAATCTCACGGCTGACAATTTTGCATGCTACTTCAAGGAAAATATCAACATCTAAAAATATTTTGCCTTGCTTCTCTCTCCCCTTCACTGACTGACCATTTGCCTGGCCTCCTCCTCTATACTTAGTATATATCCTCTGTTTCTGAAGAGGAGGTTTCTGTGGCTCTCCTTTCTTCCTGCCCTGCCTTCTGCCTCCTTGATCCCATTCTTTAGCACCTTACTCAGTCTCTCTCATATGTTGCAGTCCCATCTTTGACTAAAATCTTCAAAGGCTCTCTCTCTCTCTCTTTTTTCCTGGTATTTTCCAGTCATCATTTTAACACATGATGATCACACCCATAATAAAAAATCAAAACATTTGCCAACTGTGGCGGAACCAACCTCGCCACTATGCACTGGAGAAGCCTGGTTGCCAGCCTCCTGCCATGTGACTATGGCCCCTGGGATGTATTGCCCTTTAAAGACATGATTTGGGCATAATGGATTTGTGTTGTGCTGCTGCTGGCCCTTTTAAGAACCATCTGGGGACATACTGTGGAGTTACTGGGTGGCCACCATTTCCTGTATCAGAAGCACATGGTGAGAACAATGGATGGCGGCCATTTTAACTCACAGACACTGTGTGGACTTTTCAACACGGTGCCATCTCGCCAGTATTTGTTGCACAGAGACATCGTGCGGTGGTTTTGGACTATACAGCAGGGGACACATTATACAGTGATTGTTTTTATTTAGCCTGTATATGTTCTGCAGAATCTGCATTAAACTGTATTTTCCAAAGTACTGAACGGATCTGGGTGAATTTTGGATATGTGGTTCACCCAGATCCCCCAGTTCCAAGGATATACTTTTATGGGGTTATTGCATGTTTTGGGGTCCCTGTGATGTGTTTTATGAAACTGTATTTCTCTGGCTGTGATAATTAGATTACCCATTGTGTTCAGTAATCATATCACAGCCAGAGGGGAGGATTTTGTGTGGGAGTGTCTGGGTGTATTGTATGGATTGATTGGCTGTTTTGTAACGCCCTGTGGGCTGTACTATGTTTGTGGATTGGGAATAAAAGAGACTGTATGTGACAGTACAGGAGTTCCTGTTTTAACCCTCAAAGTGAAGTGTCGTCTCATTATTGGGGGAAGGATTCATTGTATGCTGTTCCAGTTTGAATGCTAGGAGAGTAAACCTATTCGTATGGTTCCTATTCAACTGTCTACAGCATTCATATGCTTGGGAGAATTTATTTGTTTCTCCGGTTTGGTGATTGTGGTGTCTGCCAGAGTGCTTGGAGTCCTCAGGAAGCGCTAGGAGCATCCTTCAACAGAGGTACCCAGTCGGGGGGCCAGTCGATCCGTTACACCAACCTTTCGTCTAACCTCTCATTTTCTAAAGGCTAATACTTTTAAAATCTTTCTGCCACTTTTAACACTGCTGACCACCCACTTCTCATTCTAACCCATTTGCAACCTTGGCCTTGAATACTAATCTTTCTTGGTTCTATTCCAACCTCTCTGACCACTCCTTCTGTGTCTCATTCTCTGGTCCCACCTCCCTTCCTGGTACATTCTCTGTTCCCTTCTCCCTTCTCTCGGGTTGGAGCCCTCAATGTTCTGGGACCTCTTTTCTCAATTTACATGGCCAATCTTGGGGACCTGATATCATCCTATGGATTTCAATAACACCTGCATGCTGAAGATAACCAAATCCACCTCTCCTTACATGATCTTACTATCTGTCTTCTGGATTGTGTCACTAACTTCTATTTCTAAATCTGTATATCTTCTATTTCTGTCTGAATTACCTCACAATTACTAAAACTGAACCTGTCCTAGACTAAATTCCTTGTTTTTCCTCCCTCAAAAGCTAAGTCTGTTCGTATTTCTATTAGGGTGAATGGAACGATGATAACCTCTACCCTGCAGGTGCATTACTTTGGTGTGCCCTTTGACTTTGACCTTTCCTTTACCCCTTACATTAAATCTATCACCAAGGCTTGTCACTTTTACTTTAAAAACATCTCTCACATTTATCCCTTTTTCACTCAAGTTGCGAATAAAATGTGTGTTCATGCTCTTCTTGTTTCCAACAATGATTCTTATAACCTTCTGCTTGTCAGACTTTGACACGCTATTGTTCGCCGGGGGACAGTTCGCGAACAGTTCAGCGGACAGTTCGCGACATCTCTACCTATAATGAATGCCTCTGCCTACTCATCTACCAGGAATTCTAACACCTCTCCTCTCTGTCAGTCTTTACACTGGCTTCCTGTTTCACTTAGGAATTGGTTCAAAGTTCTTGTGCTTACTTACCAATTTCTCCATACCTGGGCATTTACATTTCCACACTCATTAGCAGATATGCTCCAGCTCGGCTCTTGCTGATGACATGTTACTATCTCATTCTCGCACGTGCACTCTCATCAGCAGGACTTCACCAGGGCTGGAATGCATGAATGCAGGACATCCAACACAATCCCTAAAAACACACCTCTTTTTAGTGACGTCTATAAGCTCTCCCCTTACCTCTTCAACGCCTTCATTCTTCCCAGGCCATCTCTTATCTACTGTGCTCCCTCCTCTCAGACACCAGATCACTTGATTCCCTAACTTCCATTTATATATTTGTCCCTTATCCCTTTAGTTTGTGAGCCTGTATGGGCAGGGATTTCTTCACCTACTGTTCCTGTATGTCATACATGTTTTTTTTTTTTTAAATTAAAGGTTTTTCTTGTTTTATTTTGTAAAGCACTGTGGAATATGTTGGCACTATTTAAATAATTGTAATTGTAATTTTATAACATAATATAAAATGATATATACAGATAATATGAAAATATTTTTGCCTTTTTTGTATAAAGATTAAAGAATCCTTTTTTCATTGTGACTTCAAGCATTAAATTGTTTATAGATTTATTTATAAATTATTTTATTTAGTGTGACGGTGGTATGTATTGAGATACTTGAGGAATGGGCATTATCCAGGGACTTGGGGACCTTTAGCCACTAATTCTGCAGCAAGTTAAATGTTGAAGAGATTAAATCTAAATGGCCCAGAACACTGGCCATTTCCTGGATCCTCTTGGCCATATATTTTACATAGAGCCCAGGAGACTATGCCTCTGAGTGTCATATAAAGATGCCTAATCACTTGGATCCCTTTAAGCTCATTATCGGTGACTGGGCATCTCCTGGACCATTTTATTATATTACTCTTCCATGGAGTGGAAAAGAGGAAAAGCTAACTGATGGACCTCTCCTGTTATTATGCAGGTCTCATAGGCCTTAGCATGTATTTTTTTTAATCTTTTTAATATTTATAGCTGCAAACAGCAATTAAGAGTCTGCAATATAATTAACAGGCTTATGGTTGCTGTCATCTGAACATAACCAAATTCAGCAGCAGAAGTGCTAAACTGACAGACACTCTAAACACAACCATTTAATCATACCAGAAATTAGCACCTTAAGAGTTTACACTGTTTGGTAATACAGAATTTTATTTTCCAACTGTAACTTAAACGTTTCTTCACTAGAGGGCATGAGAACTTTACCGAAGTGAACACATTCTTTATTAAATCCGGTAACTAACTCAATTGTATCATGACACTACAGCTGAATTATATTCCACTTAATTTATTTTTATGCTATTCATAACTCTCACAGAATGAAGGGCGAGCTCAACTTACTGCAATTTATATATTCTTTAGCAAAATATCTTATTTCCCCGTGTTGTCATTGGAAATTATTCTTCCTCTCGGTGACTCGCTTACTTTGATGTACATGAGTCTGAATTGTACATTTTTGTGAAAAGTTCATGAATTTTCAGAATATAGCTTCATTATGCAATATAAAAGCATCTCTAAAAATCTATTTTAACCTCATTCTATCTACAAGCCAACAAAAGAGGGAAAGGGCAATACATGATATAAACAAAATATTATTTATATGTTCTTGTAACTAGTTTAAAATTACACGAAAACCCCAAAACTATTATCTATAATTAGGCTAGATCTATGAAGATATTAATGCATTGACTTGTTTTAAAGTTTGTGTTTTATTTATTTAGAAATTGTTACCAGGAAGTATGTTTTGATGGTTTTCTTAGTTGCCTAGTTGTAGTATGACCTATTCACAGTTACGGTCACATATTTAAAGGCACCCAGATCACTTCATCTCAGTGAAGTGGTTTGGGTCTGGGTGTAGTGTCCTTGTCCCTTTAACCTTGCAATGTAAAACATTGCAGACAGCTACTTATTATTATTATTATTAACAATATTGCCATTTATATAGCGCAATCAAATTCCGTACATGAGGGGCTTCCTGCAGTTTCATGGAGTTTAATTCAGCTTTGCGTGAGGATATCCAGCGTCTTGAAATCCCCATAGGAAAGTTTTGTATCTGGATCACTGTGACCTCAGCAGAGGAACCTCTGTGCTGAAATCAAGTAAGTGAAAAAAAGTGTTTTAACCATTCATGACTAGGGGAGGGATTGGGGAAAGGGGCTGCACAGGCAGGGGAACACTATTGTGTTAGGAAAACAGTTTCCCATCCTTAACTCTATAGTGTTCCTTTAAATATAAAGATATAAGATTAAGGGAAAATTAAATGGGACTCTCCAAACACCACAAGCACTATAGGCTATTGTTTCGGGTGCATAGAGACCAAGAGTGCAGACCCTTCATTTTTTTTTTTTTTTTTTATATTGCCTGGTTATTTTTAAGTAAAGATGTGTACAACTTGAATATGCTTGGAATGCTAAAGCCATGTCATCAAAGGTTCTGAGTGCTAGAATAGAGGATGATTTTACCACCCTCCTGCTAGAGGCTGTATTATTTATTATTTTAGCCTCAAAATTGCCCCAGTGGGCATAGGTGAGTCATGTTGTTGTTGAGTAAATTGTGTGTAAGGGTATTTCTAAATACTTTGTATGTTTAAAACATTATAAGCACCATTATTATTGTATACCATTGTAGTGGGTATGGTACTATTTTGGTATGGGCATCACCCCTTGGTTCTCAAACAGTTTTTTTTTTTTGGTTTAACTAGATCCATATCTGGACAACCTCGATTGACTAAGGGCCATGTGAATAGAGGTTTGTTTTTGTGTTGAGTGCTAAAGAATGCAGTGGTGTATGGGTAAAGTGTTATTGTGTATGTTTATGGACTGTGAATATGAGTGCATGAATGCATGAGCTTGTGAGAAGGGTAATTTTTGTGTCTCTTCTCATGTCATTGACATGATGTGTGTCATTGTTTACTGCCTCTGTGTTCCTATCCCCCATCTTCATAATATGACTATCCTCCTTTCACTAATTGTCACTGCCACTTTTCCCAATTTGTCCTTGCCCCCTTCTGCTAATTGTTCCTTCCACAGTAACTTTGTCACAGACCCCTTCCCTCTTGTCACCGTTTCCCTTCACCCTAAATGCCCCTGTGCTCTTTACCTTTTTACTGCCCTTTGCTCTAATTGTTGGTCACCTTCAATTTTCCACGGTACTCCTGTCCATAATTGTTACTGTTCCACTTCCAAATTATTCCAATCACTTTACATTTTGCCTCAACCTTCCTTGTGGATGTCACATAACAAGCAAAGTCTCCAGTCATAGACCATCCAGAGCTCCAGCCAAAGTCTCTTCTTGCTGACAACCAC